GAGGGGAGCTGCTGCATTGTAAATTTTGGTCAATGACATGAGACAAAGTATATGTGAACTGCTGTATGAAAAGTGAATTTACTCTGTAAATCTTCAACCAAATCCTAATAAAAAAAAATAAATAAATAAGGGAAAAAATCTTCAATAGACTTCCCAAAGGAAATAACTGTTAAAATACTTTTCTATGTCTATAAATTCATATTTTTAAAAATTTGGGATAATGCTCTTTAAACATATACTTTATTTTTTATCATAATTCATTACACATGTGTCTACATCATAATTTTAATGGCTGAGCATAATTTTGTATATGTATGTGCCATAATTTATTCATTCATTACTTTAATTTTTTTTTTCTTCAGTCTTGAATTTTACTCTCAGAGGATAAATTCTGCAAATGTTTGGCATTACAGTTCAGGATGAAATAAGTTACTTCTATTAGCATGCATCTTGTTCCCATGTGTGGAAATATAAAAGACATATGTTGCTTTTTTAAAGGTACTATGAGAGAAGTAAAATCTGTCAACTTGCTTTTAATGAAGTGAAGAAAAATGTAAGATGAAATTATATAGAAAATGTCTGATATAGTGTGGTTGGATGGGTAATCTAGGGACCCAAGGCACATCAGCTGAGGCCTGCACAGGATAACAATGTCCTTTTTGTTGACTCTGTGAGGAATATAGAGTTGCTAAAGGAAAGTAAACTAATTTTGTGGTCAGTGAATAGTTCTTAGGGTGAAGTTGAAAACTGTATAGAAATAATAAGACACAAGGCAAGAGAGGGAGAAAGGAGAATTATATCACTTTATTTGCATTTTCCCCTCTTTAATCTGAATATATATTCTCTTTGTTTACGTAATTGAGTAACATCTAAATTAATCAAAGCTTCCAAGAAAAAAGCTTCTATTACACAAGGTTGACTGCACACAGGGAGCAGGAGAAGCCTTCCCAGTGTCTTCAGTTCTAGGAAGTGTGATGGTTACTGGTGCCTGGTGCTTTCCAGACCCTTGTGTGCACATCATAGTCCACAGGGAGAGCTGGGTGGAGCAGTGGGAAAGTGTGGTAGAGCAGTGAGAAAAGATAAGGCCCTCTTTCTGGAGGGAAGGCAGGAAGGAAGGCCTAACAGAGGGACATAAGGGAGAGAACACATACCTTAAAAGTGGCACTTTATTACCTCTCCTTCTGTTAACACAGTTTGTAGAAACAAAGGGTCTTTCTGGCCTGGATTCTCTGTGTTATTTTAACTATAATCAGTTTTATCACCTTTGTAGGAAAATTATTATTTGAAGATATTTGGGGACATTTTAAATATTGTTGCAATCCTACATCACATGACTGGCCATGTACCAAATGGTAGTATCAAAAACATACAATAAACTATTTTGTATTTTTTCAAGTTTTCTGAGAAAAGAGAAGAGATTAGGAATCCCTTCTACTCCCTATCCCCAATGTTACACATGCAGGAATAGTATTCCTCTACCATTGATCGGAGACCTTCTGTATTCCATCTTCTCCCACTCTACTTAATAGTACCCTGCCATTCCTTGGTTAGCAGGACATTTTAATAATCAAGTCCCATAAAAGCAGGTATTTTCTTAAGTTCTGTTGCATACTTCTATAATTTTCACTTCTATGGAAATTTCGTTCAAACACAATCTTAAAGCCTGGCACTGGCCCTTGAGCAACATAATAATATAGAAGTAGACTAGCTCAGTAATTGGTTCTTATGTATAGTAAGTTCTAGCAGAATTTTGAGGAAACAGAACTGAAATCCCCAATAGAATTATGAATATATCTATAAAGAATACTTTGGTCTAAATAGAAATGAGAAGGCATTGCTAAGATGCTGGCTTGAGTGGTGTGAAGGAAAACCTTCAGAAAGTATATATTTTTACTTTTTCTTTTCCTTCTGGGAGCTCTAGTGGCATAGTGCTAAAGGCAAATGACTGATAACCAGAAGGCTGGTGGCTCAAACCCACCAGCCACTCTTTGGAAGGAAGGTTGGGCAATCTACTTCCATAGTGATACTGCCTCGGAATCCCAAGGAGGGGTTGCTATGAGCCGGATCCGACTCCACGGCAGTGATAAAGTTAAAATTTGTGAAAATGGGATTTTGCCTTACTGGAAATAAAAGTTGGCAAGAATACTATGTTTGCAGAAACTGAAAAACATTAAGAGGAGTATTTATAAAAAATACTAACAGAGTGATGCATCTGAAATCTCTACTTGCAAATTTTCTATTGAGTAATTTGCTATTCCTTCTATTGAGCATTACATTTATAGCAAAATAAGGAAACTTGTATCTAGAATACTTATATTACCATGTGGATATTTTCTGCCTCAAAACCCCTTATTCCAGGTGGACAGGAATCGAGAAAGATGGGTAGGGCACACTTCTCATGCTCCCACTTCGAAGTACTAAGAATCTCTTTCCCAAATTCAGACACACTTAATTCATACTACATTCCTTATTTTTATAGCAGTTTACCTAGTCACCATTTCTTTCTCTTTATTTGATGCATGTCCTCCAGAACAGAGAGGTCTGCTTGCTGCAGATAAGAAGTATAAGCGATGGTTTTTGAAATATTGGTCAATTAAAGGAAGTACAACCTGAAAAAAAGTAAAGGGAAACAGATGTACACAGCGGAAATCTGTCAGAAGCTGAATGCATGCAGAGGCTTCAGAGCAGGCAGACATGCAACAGGTCCCCAGTGTCCACAGTCACGACTCTTAGAACATTTCAGAGTACACCTGTTTTCAGTGTGACTCTGGTGAATGTGTGTGATCATGAGAAATAGATCAAATTGTCAATGATTTGGAAAATTATTTTCTACTATTTTTATATAACACAGTTCAGTGCCCACCAGGCTGAAAGGTGATTAATGACTATCAAGTATTGAGCATCTACAATGTGTGAGATTGTTCTAGCTGACATACTTTCATTTCATTTATCTAGTAACTATTGCAGAAGGCTGGCAGTTCAAACCCACCAGCTACTCCTCAGAAGGAAGGTTGGGCAATCTACTTCTGTAGTGATACCATCTCGGAAACCCAAGGAGGGATCGCTATGAGTCGGGTCCGACTCGACGGCACATAACAACAACAACAGCCCTGTATGGTAGATGTCATTGTGCTTTTTTTATAGGTATTGAATCTGAGACATATAAAGTGAGTGACTTAAAATCACATTGCTACATACCTACCTACATAATGTTCTTATTATTTTGCCTTTCTCAATGTTTACCTCCCATTTTTGCATGCTGAACATTGAGTCTTGGCCAATCCCTCCTCTTCACTCTGTTCATTCATTCCCACAGGAATGACAAGTAATTCTCACTGTCTGACATGCTCCTTCTAGCCCTCAACCTATTAAACTTCTCCTTCAGATCTCAGCCCAGCTTCAATTTATCAGATAAGCCTTTGCTAGTCTCCTAAACTAGTCATTTTGCCATCGAGAAGATTCCAATTCATAACATCCCTATATGACAGAGTAGAACTGCCTCATAGAGTTTCCATAAGCACTCTCTATAGAAACAGACTGCCTCATCTTTCTCCCATGGAGTGGGCAGTGGGTTCGAATTGCTGAAGTGTCAGTTAGCAGTCAAGCACTTTAACCATTGTGTCACCAAGACTAATTAAAATCCCTATATTCTCTGTTCCCACAATACCATTTGCAATCTTATATTTTATACATGTGTTTTTTGATTAAAGTCCCTCTTTCCTAAGAGTCTATGAAGTCCATAAGCTATTGCTGTTGTTAGGTGCCATCAAGTCGGCTATGTTGTACATAACAACCCTATGTACAACAGAACAAAACACTACCCAGTCCTGTGCCAGCCTCACAATCCTTGCTATACCTGAGGCCATCATTGAAACCACTGTGTCAATTCATCCTGTTGAGGGCCTTCCTCTTCTTTGTTGACCCTCCACTGTACCAAGCATGAATATTTCTCTAGGGAATGGTCCCTTCTGACAACATGACCAAAGTAGGAGAGACAAAGTCAGGCCATTCTAACTTCTAAGGAATATTCAGCTGCACTTCTTCCAGGACAGATCTGTTTGTTCTTTTGGCAGTCCATGGTACTTTCAACATTCTTTGCAAACACCACAACTCAAAGGCATCAACTCTTCTTCAGTCTTCCTAGTTCACTGTCCAGCTCTCACATGCATATGAAGTGAGTAAAAATACCATGGCATGGGTTAGGCACAACTTAAGTCTTCAAGGAGACATCTTTGCTTTTCAGCAGTTTAAAGAGGTCTTTTGAAGCAAATTTTCCCAGTGGAATACATCATCTGATGTCTTGAGTGCTGTTTCCATTGGTGTTGATTTCCTGCATTTATTGTGATGCTGCTTATTGGTCCAGCTGTGATGATTTTCATTTTCTTTATCTTGAGATTTAATCCATACTACAGACTGAAGTCTTTAATCTTCGTCAGTAAGTGCTTCAAGTCATCCTCACTTTCAGCAACCAAAGTTGTGTCGTATACCTATTGCAGCTTGTTAATGAGTCTTCCTCCAATCCTGATGCCATGCGCTTCTTCATATAATCCACTTTCTCAGGTGATTTGCTCAGCATACAGATTGAATAAGTAGGGTGTAAGGATATAACCCTTACACAACTCCCTTCCTGATTTTAAACCATACAGCATCTCCTTGTTCTGTTCCAACAATAGCTTCCTGGTCTATGTACAGGTTCCTGATCAGCACAAATCAAGTGTTCTGGAATTTCCATTATTCTCAATGTTATCCATAATTTATTATCATCCACACAATCAAATGCTTTTGAATAGTCAATAAAACACAAGTAAAATTCTTTCTGGTGTTCTTTGCTTTCAGCCAAGATCCATTTGACATCAGCAATGATATTCCTTGTTCCATATCATATTCTGAATCCAGCTTGCATTTCTGGAAGTTCTTTGTCAATATACTGCTGCAACCATTTCTGAATTCTCTTCAGCAAGATTTTACTTGCATGTGATATTAATGATATCACTTGATAATTTCCACATTGTGTGGGATCATGTTTCTTTGGAATGGGTGCAAATATGGATCTCTTTCAGTCAGTTGACCAGGTTGCCGTCTTCCAAATTTCTTGGTATAGACAAGGGAGTGTTTCCAGTGCAGCATATGTTTGTTGAAACGTCTCATTTGTCTTTTATTTGTTAATTTGTTAATTCCTGGACCCTTGTTCTTTGCCTATTACTTCAGTGCAGATTTGACTTAATCCCCCAGTACCATTGGTTCTTGATCATATGCCACCTCCTGAAATGGATGAACATCAACCAATTCTTTTTGGTCCAGTAACTCTGTGTATTCCTTCCATCTTCTTTGGATGTTTCCTTCATCATTTAATATTTTGCCCATAGAATCTTTCAATATTGCAAACTGAGGCTTTTTTTTCCCCTCCCTCAGTTCTTTCATTTTGAGAAATGCTGTGTGTGTTCTTCCCTTTTGGTTTTCTAACTCCAGGTCTTTGCACATTTCATTATAATAATTGACTTTGTCTTCTTGAGCTGCTCTTTGAAATCTTCTGTTCAGCTCTTTTGTTCTGTTGATTCTTCCATTTGCTTTAGCTACTCTCCATTCAAGGGGAAGTTTCAGAGTCTCATCTGACATCCATTCTGGTCTTTTCTTCCTTTCCTGTCTTTTTAATGACCTTTTGCATTCTTCATGGGTGGTGTTCTTGATGTCATCCTACAATTCCTCTGGTTTTCAGTCATTGGTTTTCAATGTCTCAAATCTATTCTTTACATGGTCTCTAAATTCAGGAGTGATATAATTAAGGTCATATTTTGGCTCTCATGGACTTGTTTTAATTGTCTTCAGCTTCAACTTGAACTTGCATATGAGCAACTGATGGTCTGTTCCACAGTAAGCTCCTGGTCTTATTTTGTCTGAAGATATTGTGGTTCTCCTTCCCTTCTTTCCACAGATGTAGTCAATATGATTCCTGTGTACTCCATGTGGCAAAGTCCAAATGTATAGTCAATGTTTGTGTTGTTGAAAAAAAGTATTTGCAATGAATAAGTAGTTGGTCTTGCAAAATACTATCATGCGATCTCCAGCATTATTTCTATCACCAAGGCCATATTTTCCAACTACCAGTGATTCTTCGTTTTCAACTTGTGTGTTCCAATCTCCAGTGATAATCGACACATCTCAATTGCATGGTTGGTAAAAATCTTTAATTTCCTCATCTTTGGCTTTGGTGGTTGGTGCATAAATTTGAATAATAGTAGTATTAACTGGTCTATCTTCAAGGCATATGGATATTATCCTAACACTGACCACACTATACTTCAGGATAGATCTTGAAACATTCCTTGTGACAATGAATGCCACACCATTCCTCTTCAATTTGTCATTCCTGGCATAGTAGATCATATGGTTGTCTGATTCAAAATGGCACAAACCAGTCTACTTCAGCTCCCTAATGCCTAGGATATCAATCTGTATGTGTTCCATTTCATTTCTGACAACTTCCGATTTTCCTAGATTCATACTTAGTACATTCCATGTTCCAATTATTAATGGATGTTTGCAGCTGTTTCTTTGCATTTTGAGTTGTGCCACATCAGCAAATGGAGGTTCACTTTACTCCATCCATGTCTTTAAGGTCAGCTCTACCCTGAGGAGGCAGTTCTTCTCCAGTAGTATTTTGAGTGTCTTTTGCACTCATCTTCTAGCATTATATCAGACAATATTTCAGGGCTCTTCATAAAGGTTTCCAGTAACATGTCAGACAGTATTTCATTGCTATTCATAAAATTTTCACTAGTCAATATTTTGAGAAGTGGATGGTCCCTTTCTTCTCCTGAGTCTGTGTTAGTCTGGAAGCTCTGCTGAAATCTGTCCACTATGGGTGACCCTGCTGGTATTTGAAATACCAGTGGCATAGCCTCCAGCCTCACAGCAAGACACAAGCCAGCACAGTATGACAAACTGATAGACAAATGGGGGATGAAGTTCATGAAAGCAAGAATCATTTCAGGCTTTGTTTTCAATTATATAGCCCTTTTCTGGCCTCTGTGACTGCTATTTAGCCTGCTGTGTTTACCACTCAACTCCTTTACGGGGTCTGTAACAAACACTAGATAAATAGTTGTTGAATGGATAAATGAATGAAAAGAGTGCTAAGAATCGACATTATCAGTATCCAAACTCAAATGTGTGCTATAGTACATATATACACAATGAGAGTACACAAGTTTTTATTGATTTTCCTTGAGTCTGTCACACTGCCTAAACTTAGTGATTGATACATAATAGGTCATCAATAAACCTGATGAATGAATCATTCATAGGCTTCATACCAATGAAGATGCATTAGGTATCAGCACCTAAACTCACTAGGGTATGTGTGAAATACAACATGAGAAATGCATTTGAGAGGGATAGTTAGATTAGAGGTCATGAATGTAGAATTTTTGATAACTTGCTACTAGGAGGAGTATATCCTGCTAGAGACTAGATAATACATAAAAACAAATAACTACTAATTTTCAGTCCAGACAAATTTCAGACAATTGGTACAATCTTCAATTACTATATTGACTGGAAAGAAAAAGTCATAAAATATAAACTTCCCTTGTCATAAAGAGAACAATTCAGAAAACATAATAAAAACCAAACATCAATCCATCAAAATGAGATATTATTTTAAAGTCCACAAAATACTGTTATTATTATCTAAAACAGTCTTACCAAATACAAATACATTGAAATTAAATTGACATTAAATGCAAGTTATTGTAAAAAGAAAACCTTCTCCAAAGGCATTTGGTCATCATAAGTGCCCATGACTGACATACTCAGCAGGAAGTCCAATGACTGGCACAGAGTAAATACTGAGTAAGTGGACAAGTTCAATTTGGAGACTTTGTAGCTCTTCATCTCTTTCCCTTACTGGCTGAAGAAAGGTTTCAAGCACAGAACAAATTCTCAATACTTATTAAACTGAATGAATAATAATAGTGGGACAGACTTTGTATATGAACAATTTATCCTCTCTTAGCCTTAGCTTCATTGTCTGTAAAATAAATAGGACAATGGCCCCATTATATTCTGAAATCTTAAATAACCATGTAGCCATGCAAAATGGGAAAAACCTAGTAAAGGAACTTTTAAAGTAAACATTTACAAAATTAATTGTTGCTTTTCCTCCATATGAAAGAAATGCTCATCCAAAAAATTTACATCATAACATTATTCAAATGTTCTTAAGAAATAGGTAATTTTCTTCTGTGTAATATGATGAAGTAAAAAAATAAAAATAAAAACTTTGAGTCAGATCTTCTATAGGGTTGTCATTTGAGAAATAAGATAGGGAGAGCAGAGCAAGTTAAAAACATGCCCAAGTTTTCTGGGAATAAAAGGAGAAAATTCACCCCACCTTATTCATGAAGTTTCTTTCAAGTCATAGAATATTTACTTGTGGTAAAAGTCATATTTGTGGAAAAGTTAATTCTGAAAAGAGGCAAAGTCCTAAAGGTAATAATTTTGTAAGCAAACATACTGAAGCAAAAATAAAATGGATTGTATACTGTACTTTAGCAAAGAACTTGATTTCTTGTTCATAAGGAAAATGCTCTCCTTTGCTTCTGCTGCCACCATCTGCAGAAATGAAGAGATTTTATGTACATGTTTCATGCCAAACATTATAAGATATTCACCCAAAGTGTAAATTTTGAATACATTGTGAAATGTGTTATTGACTGATTCGAACATAAAAAGCCGACAAAAAATGTTAAAGGTAACTTTGGCAATATAATAAAAAAAGAAGTTCTAAAAACACATGACTCTAATAAAAAATTATTGAGAACAACCCATACTTATGGTTATGAGCACAAACACAATTGAGCAGCTTAAACACCTTATTAACACATGGGGGAAAACTGGAATAATATTAAAGTAAAAATCCTACATCTACAGCAAACTTAAAAAATTCACTGGGGTAATAAATTAAACATAATTGGTTAGATTTACTTTCCTTGGCAATTTTTTTTTTTAATTGGGGTAAAAATATAAATGATATTTGACATATTAACCACTTTTACATGTATAATTCAGTGACCACTGATTATATTCATCATATTGTGCAACTATCACCATTACTTGTTCCCAAATATTTCCATCATCCTTAATAGAAACTCCCTTTTTACCCCATCTAGCCACCCCAGGAACCATCATATATACTTTGGTCTCTATATATTTGGTTTCTGTAGAGATTTCATATAAGTGGGATCATACAGTGTTTTTCCTTTTAAGAAAGACTCATTTCATTGGGCATGATGATTTCAAAGTTCAATCATGTTGTAGCATGTACCAAAACTTCATTTATTTTTATGGCTGAGTAATATTCTGTTGTATGTTCATACCACATTTTGTTTAAACATTCACCTATTTATGGACACTTGAGATGTTTCAACCTTTGGCTATTGTGAATAGTATTACAATGAATATTGGTGTACAAGTATCTGATTTAGTATTTTCTCTCAAGTCTTCTGAGTATATATTTAGTAACAGAATTTCTGGGTCATATGGTTATGCAGTAGTTAAGGCATTTGGCTGTTAACCAGAAGGTGGGCAGTTCAAACCCACCAGGTATTCTGTGGGAGAAAGATGAGGCAGTCTGCTTCTGTAAAGATTTATAGCCTTAGAAACCCTATGGCACAATTCTACTTAGACCTATTTGGTTGCTATGGGTTGGAATTGATTGATGGCAGTGGGTTGTCTGTCAGTTTGTCATACTATGGTGGCTTGCATGCTCATATGATGCTGGAACCTATGCCACTGGTATTTCAAATACTAGCCAGATCACCCATGGTGGACAGGTTTCAGCAATGCATCCAGACTAAGACAGATTAGGAAGAAGGACCTGGCAATGTACTTCTAAAAGATAAAAAGGCCAGTGAAAACCATATGAATAACAGTGAAACACTGCCCGGTATTTTGCCAGAAGGGGAGCCCCTTCAGATGGGAAGGCACTCAAAACATAATTGGGGAAGAGCTGCCTCCTCAACGTACGGTCAAGGTTAATAACATAGATGAAGTAAAGTTGTTGGGACCTTCATTTGCTGATGTGACAGGACTCAAGATGAAAAGAAATAGCTTCAAACATCCATTTATAATTGGAATATGGAATGTACAATATATGAATCTAGAAAAAGTAGAAGTTGCAAAAATGAAATAGAATGATTAAAGATCAATATCCTGGACATTCATCAGCTAAAATGGGCTAATACTGGCAATTTCAAATCAGACAATCATATAGTCTACCATGCCAGTAATGACAAAGTGAAGAGGAATGGTGTTCATCTTCAAAGAAAACATTTCAAGATCTGTCCTGAAGTACAATGCTGTCAATGATAGGATAATATCCATATGGCTACAAAAAAGACCAGTTAATATAACTATTACTTAAATTTATACACCATTCACAATTGCAAAAGAGAAAGAAATTGAAGATTTCCACTGACTTGTGTGGTCTGAAATTGATCAAACATGCAGTCAAGATGCACTGTAATTACTGGTGATTGGAATATAAATGTTGGAAACAAAGAAGAGAGATAGGTAGCTGGAAAACATGCCCTTGGTAATAGAAACAAGGCCAGAGATCGCATAATAGAATTTTACAAGACCAATGACTTATTTAGTGCAAATACCATTTTTCAATAACTATACATGTGGACCTTGCTGGATGGAATACATAGAAATCAAATCAAATATATCTATAGAAGGAGATGACGGATCAGAACAAGGCTAGGGGCCAACTACAGAGCATACCATCAATTGCTGATTTGTTGTTGATTTTGTTGTTATGTGCCATCGTGTCCTCTCCGACTCACAGCAACTTTATGTACAATAGAATGAAACACTGTCCAGTCCTGTGTCAGCCTCATGATCCCTACTATACCTTAGCCTATCGCTGCAGCCACCACGTCAATCCATCTTGTTGAGGGACTTCCCTTCTTTCATTGACTCTCCAATTTACCAAGCATGACATCCTTCTCCAGAGAATGGTCGCTTCTAACAACATGACCAAAGTAGGTGAAACGAAGTCTGGTCATTCTCGTTTGCAAGGAGCATTCGGCTGCACTTCCTCCAGGACAGATTTGTTAATTCTTTTAGCAGTCCATGGTACTTTCAGCATCCTTCGTCAACACCACAACTCAAAAGCATCAACTCTTCTTTGGTCTTCCTTATTCATTGTCCAGCTTTCACATGCACATGAGGTGATTAAAAATAACATGACTTGGGTTAGGCACAACTTAGTCTTCAAGGAGATATCTTCACTCTTCAGCACTTGAAAGAGGTCTTTTTCAACAGATTTGTCCAATGCAATATGTCTTTTGATGTCTTCACTGCTGCTTCCATTGGCGTTGATTGTAGAACCAAGTAATATGAAGTCTTTGACAACTTCAATCTGTTCTCCATTCATCATGATGCTACTTATTGGTCCAGTTGTGAGGATTTTTGCTTTCTTTATATTGAGGTGTAATCCATACTGCAGACTGTAGTCTTTAATCTTCATCAGTAAGTACTCCAAGTCATCCTCACATTCAGCAAGCCAAGTTGTGCCATCTGCATATCTCAGGTCGTTAATGAGACTTCCTCCAATACTGATGCCACGTTCTTCTTGATATAATCCATCTTCTCAGATTATTTGCTCAGCATACAGATTGAATAAGTATGGGGAAAGGATACAACCCTGACATACTCCCTTGCTGATTTTAAACCATGCAGTATCTGCTTTTCCTGTTTGAGTGACAGCTTCCTGGTCTATATACAGGTTCCTCAGGAGTACAATCAAGGGTTCTGGAATTCCCATTCTTCCCAATGTTATCCTTAATTTGTTATGATCCATAAAATCGAATGCCTTTATATAGTCAATAAAATAAAAATACACATCTTTCTGATATTCTCTGCTTTCAGTCAAGATCCATCTGACATCAGCTATGATATCCCTTACTCCACGTCCTCTTCTCTTCTGAATCCAGCTTGCATTTCTAGAAGTTCTCTGTTAATAGAATGCTGCAACCATTTTTGAATTATCTTCAGTAAGATTTTAATTGCATGTGATATCAATGATATTGTTCAGTATTTCTACGTTCTGTGGGATCACCTTTCTTTGGAATGGGTACAAATATGGATCTTTTCAATCAGATGACCAGGTAGTTTGAGGCTATGCCTCCAGTGCAGCATCTGTTTGTTGAAACATCTCAATGAGTATTCTGTCAATTCCTGGAGCCTTGCTTTTTTGGCCAATTCCTTCAGAGAAGCTTTGACTTCTTCCTTCAGTACCATTGGTTCTTGATCATATGCCACCTCCTGAAATGGATGATTGTCTACCAATTCTTTTTGGTATAGTGACTCTGTGTATTCCTTCCATGTCATTCAACATATTATCCATGGAAACTTCCAATACTGCAATTTGAGGCTTACATTTTTTCCTCAGTTCTTTCAGCTTGAGAAATACTGAGCATCTTCTTCCCTTTCAGTTTTCTAACTCCAGGTCTTTGTACATTTCATTATAATAATTTACTTTGTCTTCTCAAGTTGCTCTTTGAAATCTTCTGTTCAGCTCTTTTATCTTGTCGATTCTTCCATTTGCTTTAGCTATTCTCCATTCAAGGGCAAGTTTCTGAGTCTCTTCTGACATCGATTTTGGTCTTCTTTTCCTGTCTTTCAATGACCTGCATTATTAATGGATGATGCTCTTGACGTCATCCCACAATTCCTCAGGTTTTCGGTCGTTGGTGTTCAATGCATCAAATCCATTCTTCAGATGGTCTCCAAATTCATAAGGTATGTAATCAAGGTCTTATTTTGGCTCTTGTGGATTTTATTTTAATTGTATTGAACTTGCATATGAGCAATTGATGGTCTGTTCCACAGTAAGCTCCTGGCCTTGTTTTGGCTGAAGATATTGAGCTTCTCCATCACCTCTTTCCACAGATATAGTCAATATGATTCCTGTGTACTCTGTCTGGTGAAATCCCACATGTATGGCCATCATCTGTGTCATTGAAAACAAAGTATTTACAATGACTAAGTTGTTGGTCTTGCACAATTCTATCATATGATCTCCAGCATCATTTTTATCACCAAGGCTATATTTTCCAACTACCAATGATTCCTCTTTGTTTGCAACTTCTGCATTCCAATCACCAATGATAATTAACACATCCTGATTGTATGCTCAGTCAATTTCAAAGTGCCAAAGTTGGTAAAAATCTTCAATTTCTTCACCTTTGGCTTTGGTGTGTAAATTTGAATAATAGTAGAATTAACTGGTTTTCCTCATAACTGTATGGATATTATCCTGTCACTGACAGCGTTGTACTTCATGATAGATATTGATACATTCTTTGTGATGATGAATGCCATGCCACTCTTCTTCAATTTGTCACTTCTGGCATAGTAGATCACATGATCATCTGATTCAGAAAGACTAAAACCAGTCCATTTCAGCTCAGTAATGCCTAGGATACTGATCTTTATGTGTTCCATTTCATTTTTGACAACTTCCAATTTTCCAAGATTAATACTTTGTACATTCCATGTTCTGATTATTAATGAATGTGTACAGCTGTTTCTTCTCATCTTGAGAT